TCCATTTTCCACACCTTCCTCCTCTGACTATTAGAAGGCAATTTTTGCATCTCTCCTTAATTTTTCCATCTCCATATAAGTACTTCCAGTTCCTTCAAATTATTCCTCATATGACATGGTTTCCAGCTGTTTCAAGTAAACTGAGGCTATAGCTTGACTTAAAAATGTTCCTACATACAAGAACACAAAAGGGAGATCTAAAAGTTTGTTTCTTTTTTGTTCACTTACACCTGTAATTGACACAATTGGAAAGACTATCCAGAACCCCATGGTCTTTGTGGGAGCTGTATCTGTGTGAGGTCCCCTTCTTATCATCACACACATACACACACACACACCCCAGTCCCACTATGGTACTGTGATACCAGATGGGTCTGAAAACCTCCTCGCCCTACCCACATGGACTGACAGAAAGGATAGTCACAAGTTCCCAGCTGGACTAATCAGTCATTCCCCAGGATTTTAAATTGGAACATGGAGGAAGCTTGCTATTCCCTTGGCCTGTGGAGCTGTTAGATATGACAGCCATTTACCCGATTCATGGAATTAGCCAATCTGAGGAGTTCAATATCCAAAGGAGTATAGGGAGAAAGACCCCAGACCTCCAGTTCCAGCCATTCTTAGAACCAATTCTACTCCTGTGTCTCCTATGGTCTGGTTATGAAGCCAATAATTCCCCCTTGGCTGAGTTGAGTTAATTTTGTATCATTTGTAATACAGAAGGCCCTACCTACTACAATATTCATAAGATTCCAACTAGTCTAAAAGAACAAACAGAAAGCAGGTCATAAAAGGGAAAAATCACTACCCCACCCTACAAGAGGTATGAATGGAACCTCCTTCCAGCAACCCGGCACCTGGGTGGCTTAGTTGGTTAAGTGGCCAACTCTTGGTTTTGGCTCAGGTCATGATCTCATGGGTCATGGGATCGAGCCCTGCCTGGGGCTCCACATTCAGCTTGGAGTGTACTAGAAATTCTCTCCTTCTGCCCCTCCCCACAGACACGCTCTCACTCTCTCTTTCTCACTCTCTAAAATAAATAAATCTTAAAAAAAAAGAAAGAAAAAAAAAAGAATCTCTTTCTACCATTATTTAAGAATGAGGGTCCTACTCACCTACCAAAGAAGATCAAGGTCTTTCTTTCCTAATAGCCTAAGCTCCATAGGATTGACACTATTCAAAAGTATATTGCCAGAACTATCACAGCACCTGGCACATAATAAGTGTTTAAAAACACTCTCCACTTTATTTTCCACAGCAAACAGAAGAAAATAACAGGCAAAACATCAACCATAACTTATTAGAATGAAGATTCAAGTTCCCTAAAGAAACCTTAGATAAATCACTTCACCTCCTTAGAATTAAATTGCCCATTCGCCACATGTATTATAGGGCATGATCACCCCTTCAGTCTTTTTTAGCCGTGAAATGCTGTGATCCTTTCCATACTCAACAATCGTAAGGCATAGTCTTCTAAAGACTTGATCATGCAGATCGAAGAAGGAATTGCAGGAATAAAAAAGGCAGCACAAGAATAACAAGAAAGAATAACCTACCAAAAAGATGGTTGCGGGGGGGAAGCAAAAGGAAAATAAGGAGAAGAAATCAGCAGTGAGAGGATTGAAGAGGTCATTCATATGTGCCACCTTCCAATCTAATCTCTGTGGTCACAAACGGCCTCTGTGCTGGTTCCAAACTGCCAGCCCCAGAGCCTTGTCCCTGTCTGGGTCCATACCGTCCCTATGATGGCGCCTTCCTTGAAACCGTGCATCTCCTTTCAGAGTCGGCTTCCCACTTCTGCCTTTGGTCCTTGATATTCCCACTTGCTCACCCCGTTCCAGACAGGTTGGGTTTTGTTTGCTTGTTTGTTTCATCACCAACAGAATATATACCCAATTATATTGTGTCCCTGTTTCTTGTCATGTCCCCTGCATTGACTGATGCTCAAATGTCCATAATTTTCCATTTATTCCTGAAGTTTGGTTTCTGTCTCAATACAAGTAATCAGAAAATAGCATCTCTGTACAATCAGGTGACCCACTTACAGTGAGCTGTTCTAAGGAAATGACCTCAGATCCTTTCATGAAAGAAGGCCTTGACTCAGGAAAAGTATTATTACGATTAACAACTAATGTTAACTATTATTACATGTCTGCATCTAAGTACTGCATACCAGCACGTTACGCTATACGTAGACAACTGCGCTAAGCATTTTGCTCACCTTTGTTCATTCAGTTCTCACAACACCTCTGTAAGAGAAATACTACGTAGGCTTTAAAGATAAAGAATCTGAGGTTCAGAAGGAGTAGATACTCCTGGTTACACAGCTAGTAAGGGCCACTCTCGGTTACACACAAGAGCCATAGCCATCTGAATCCAGAATCCTTGCTCTTGCTCATTACATGACTTAAAAAGGCATTAATCCCTGTGAGAAATGGGGAGGGGGACCCTCAAGGGGACCCAAAGCAAAGAGACTAGGGAACTAAAATCAACATGATCTACTTCTCCATTTTGCTTAGAGTCAGCCCTATTTGAAGAACCTTGTTCCCATTATGTAGCAATAGATTATCTGCCATTTTGCATTGTGGAAATGTACCCTCCATTATCCAGGCTAATCTGGTTGACTGTAGAATGCTGTACACAGGCATTCCAATGACAGACCACTAATTCAATCTTCTCTGTGAGGAAGATGCTACTGGACATTCCTTCAACTTTTTCCCTATAACTTTCGATGCAGGGTGCGTCACATAACCCACAATTCCTTCCTACAACATCTAGAGCCAAAGAAGTAATTTAGGATACCAAGAAGGGGGAGATAAGGTGAAGAAGAAAAGGAAAAGGAATTATAATGTGGTAACCAACCACATTATATAATATATATATTGTACATATAATATATATATTATATATAATTTTAATTAAAAAATTTTTTAAAAAAGCAACCCAGTGAAGGGTGATTATCTGATAACTGGTGATTCAGAGAGAAATAAATGTTCATGGCCCATCACTAAACAGAGAAAAGCATTTGACTGTGCTATAGAGACCATATGTTCAGATAGCCAAGGTGGAATTTTCCTACATCACAGAGTAGAGAGATATGAGTATTTCCTATAGGAGTGAGACCTTACTGCTTAATCCATGTAGGGTCTATAGCAGAAGCAGCATTTCATCACTAAGCAAAAATCTAATTATTTTCCGGTTCCATAATCTCTAGTTTCTCCAAAACTCTTCATCTACCTACTGAGATTTTTATATATATTGGTAGAATAAAATGCCCATCCCTACAGTGGAGTCATTCGATGTTTCTCTGTGATAACCAAAGTCTCTAGTTTTACTGAAATGGAAGCTGGGAATCAGAGTAGCAAACTCCTTGGGGTCAGTCAGTAATTAATACCTAAAAGTTGAAATACGAAGGGTACAATTTGGGGTAAAATGCAGCAAAGATTGTCTCTCACTGAAATAATAGTCCCGTCTGTTAGGAAGTCTGAAAGTAATAATTAATTGAAAAACTGTTTTAAGCTAAAACAGAGGGGCAGGATTGGAAATTTTTAAAAGTAAAAGGTCCTTAAAATATGCTAAGGAAGGAGCTTAATGCCTTCATTCCATGTCCAACCAGTTTCCTATTCTAACCAATTTCCATTAAACAGGGAAAGGAGCAGGGAGGAGAGAAAGTATTTGAAAAACTGCCAGAGTAAAAAATCCCATAATGAAATTTTGCTCATTCTTGGAGAAATGAAGTAGAATTAGATGCTTCAGTGGTGGTGAATTTCAGGATCTGGGTAGTTTCCAGTAAATGAAGTGTTTCCATAATGTCAAATGCAAAAGCTATCTGATACCAACATATTGAGCTTGAGTTTTTAAATTCCTATTTCCTTACACCAAATTGTTTGAAACCTCTGAGATAAAAACTTCAATAAACTGGTGTTCCAAGCTTTTAATATTTTAGTCCCTTGAGCAAGCATGTCAGATTAATCTTCAAATTGCAGTGGGCAGAAAGAACATTCAACCAAATTCTTAAGCCCGTGCCTCTCTCAAAGGATGTTAATAATGTAAGCAGTTTCATTGTCTATTAAGATTTCAAACTTTCCTAATTCTCAGCAGTATTACTATTTAAAAGTGGAAGGGGAGAAAAGGATATTAATAATGTAAGCAGTTTCGTTGGCTATTAAGATTTCAAACTTTCTTAATTTTCAGCAGTATTACTATTTAAAAGTGGGGGGGGGGGGCCTATCCTGAAAGGGATATTACTTATTTTATCTTTGTGTCCACGTAGCACGTTGCTAGGCACACAGTAGGTATTTAACAAGTACCTCTGGAATGGGCTGATTGATTGGTCTGGTGGAGAGTGGAAATCTTGCTGAGAACAGCATGAGTCTAAATCCTGGCATTGCCCAGCAACAAAGACCATCTCCAGAATTAGGGTTATCGAGGTACAGCAGTAATTTGAAAGTGTGTCTTCAAAGACACACCAAGAGGATTGCTTCCTGAGCGGACGAGAAGCCACCCTAGAGCCTCTTAAAGAGGGATTAGACTCGTCTCTGGCTTCAGTGTGCCTGGAAAACGCCCGTCCTGCCTCTCTATGCCCAGTTCCTCCTGCCTTTTACGGGGTCTGGGTTTCCACTCACACAATTTAGGTACAAGATCCGACCTCGCGAGTCTAACCCAGGCCTCCTCTCCATTGCACGGTGGGAGGGAGGCCACGCAGCCCCAGGCACGAGGAAGAACACACACTACTACTAGTCGGGACGTCTTTGAAGGTGAAAGGGGATATCGGGAAGCGGCGGGAAGAAGGGAGGGGAGGGAGGAGGGACGGAATGAATTCAAGACCAGGGTCACCATCCAGAGGTTTCCGACCCCACTCCGAAAGCCCCTGCCCCAACCGCTGAAAGACGCTAGGGAAACCACCAACACGCTCAGGTTGCGCAGAGCCGCCCAGGGTCGGGACCCAGGGGAGAGGGGCGGGGAGGTGACGGGAAGCCAGAGGGGGCCGGAGACACTACCTGGTGTGGCTGTGGTTGCGGGGACAGTCCTTCTTCTCCATGATGGCCGGCACGCAGTTGGTGAGCTCCGTCCAGTCGGCGTGCAGCCCGCAGCTCCAGCCGGTGGAGAAGCGGGAGAAAAGCCACGTCTCCTTCTTGCCCGGCCGGTGGCAGGTGCACTTCTTCTGGCCCGCTTTGCAGCTACACGGCTGCTCCAGCCGGATGTTCTTCACCAGGTGCCGGCCGAACGTGGTGCCCCCGGTCTTCTGGATGTGCAGGAACACGATCACGTCGCGCCCTTTGATATTGAAATCCACGAAGCGGGTCAGGTCCTTCAGGGTGAAGTTAAAGCGCGGCACGAACCGGGGCAGGGACCCGTTCTCGGGGGCCTCAGGGTCGGGCTCCTCTTCCTCCTCCTCTTCTTCCTCCTCCGGCTCCCCGAGCTCCTCGTCCTCGTCCTCTGGCGCCACGGCCCCCCGAGGCCCCTCGGGCGGCCCCCGGGGTGGCGGGGGCAACTGGGGCCGCCGCTCCCACTCCTCGGGCGGCGCCTGTGCCCGGCGGGCGGGACTCGGGGCGGCCGGCTGGCCGGCCTCCCCCGCGCGGGGCTGCTCCCCGAAGTTGGCGCAGGAGCTGGTGCAGGAGGGGGACACGTACTGGTACATGATGACCACGAAGAGGAGAGTGAGCACGGGCGTCAGCAGCCACTTGTTGAACCTTTCATCCATGGTCCCGCTCTCAGGCCGGCAGGCGAAGCGGCGGCGGCAGCGGCGCGGACTGGCGCCGGCTCGGAAGTTTCGGGGACTCCGGGGCGCGGCTCCGAGCCCGCCGCTCCTCCATGCCCCTGACGCCGAGGCGTGCGGCTGGCTAGCGGCCCCGCGGCGCTCCGGCACTCCCGGGCTGGCAGCGCCGGGGCCTGCGAGACGAGCGGGGAGGCGGGAGCCGGCGCGCTGGGCTCCGGCTGCGGCGTGGGGCGCCCTGCGCTCCCGGGGACGCCCGGCTTGGCCGGCTCCCCGCTCCCGCCCAGGCGCGGCGCGCGCTCTCAGGCCACGCGGGGCATCCCGCCGCCTGCGCTCAGGCGCTCAGGCGCTGGGGAGCGCGCCTCGGGTCCTGCTGCACCTGCCCGGGGCAGCCGGGCGGCTGCGGCCGCGAGCGCGGGGGCTGCATGAGGCTCGCCAGGGCGCGGGCCAAGGGCGAAGGCGCGGCCCGGCCCAGCCGCGTCGGGCGGCCGCTGGCACCGCGCCCGGAACGCGCACCCGGCGCCTTTGCCCTCCGGTCGCCGGGCGCGGGAGCCGCGAGGGCAGACGGCGCCCGCCTGCAAGTTTGCAGAGGAGCCCCCGCGGCGGCTGCGGACGAGGCGCCTGTGCGGAGCCGCCTCCCAGGGAAGAGTCGCACTGCTGCTCCGGGTCGGTCCGCCCAGGCGCGGGCACGCAGGCACACTCGCACACAGTGGCTGGCACCGCCACAACCCGCCAGCCGGTGTGACAGGAGCCCTGCTACCCGCAGCAAAAACCTGCCCTAGGTACGGAGCATGCGCCAAAGCCTTCCCCAGCCCCGGAGGAGTTTCCAGGGGAGGAGTCCGCTGCTCCGCGGGGCTCGGAGCTGGCAGCTGGGGGTGGGAATCCCTTCAGCCCAGGGCGAGGAGATATTTGGGAGAGAGGCAAAGGCGGAGCAAGGAGAGAAGCCCGGAGGAGAGCGTCGCCGGCACGGATCCCAGACCTTTAAATCCGCAGCTTTCTCTTTCTGAGATGGACGCAAATCTGGCCGGCCTCTGTGCAGGGAGAACGCTCGCACACCGCTGGGCAGACTCACCTAGACAGGACTGCACTCGAGCTGGCTGGAGGAATTGGCTCCAGACTGCTTTTAATTTCCACCCAAGACGTTCTAACTGTTGCTCAAGTTTTATTCCGGTCCCTCCTTAACTACAAACTTGAAGTGTTCGACTCTACAATTTTACTCAACCGACATCCATCCATCAATGATCCATCAGGCACCTGCCATCAGGGTCTTTGTTGAACAGACACTTCATTTCTTCCAGCCCCAGATCCACCAGACCCACCAGCCCACAACCTTGCAATATGGAATTCCAATGCAAGAGAGGTTAGGGGTCACGTCTTAAAATTCATGTTACTAATACACATTGAATTCTTAAATGGGCAAGACTCACCCCTTACCCCACATCTCATGCGGACAATAAGACCTACTTTTACCTCTATTTCATAAGCTAAAGAAGCTCTTGTTTATGTGCAGATTTTTTTAACTTTATTTTTCAAACATCTAAAGTTTGCATTTGCACGAGAACCAAATCTTTAATAGCAGTTTTTGTTTTTCAGGTAATGAATGGATGTACCACCAAATGGCAGTAACTGTCCCTTCACGATCCCTCTACTTGCTTGACCCAAGTAGAGAGAGACAGTGTGTTGAAGAGGGAAACGATGCAATTTGATCCCCTTGCCCAGGTCATCATGCCCCTCCTGGTTACCCTGGTATCCCAGGCCTTCAGAGCAGTCAGCCTTCCCACCTGGCCTCTTTATGGATCTGTGCAGTACTTGTCTTTTCTTGAGACGCTGTATTGATCTCTTCCATTTGTCAGGCTGTCCCCTTCGACCCATTAGTTAAGATCTAGATCTCTTTCAGGGATGCTAACTCTTTCCCATAGGAAGTTATTTTTATTGTTCTAGACAGGTGGGATTTTTCTCAACAAAGCTTCCCGCCTCTGCTTCCTTTCCTCTTTTCAACTCTATAAACAACCACAAACAGTGTCCTTCCTGATACTGTATGAGCTTATATTAGTAAAAAAGGTGTTGAGCAAGATGAATCAGCTTCTTTAAAGCTTACTTAATCTATTTATTTTTCTCTCACTTGGAGTTTACAATCCTATTAATGGCATCACACTACTCTCCAAAGAAAGAAATTGTGATAGGACAAAAAATAAAAATCAAAAATAAATAAAATAGATAAAACTCAACGTTTATTACTTCCTGAATGCATCTGGTGAATGGTATTACTTATTTTAAAAGATACACCTCTCCTTTACCAAAGTAAAAATTCATTATCCTTTTTTATATTACTCTGAGAAGTTTCTCATTTCCTATAAAGTCACTTGATATCACATGGATAAGTATAACCTTGTTAGCTACCCAAATGTATAAGCTGAGTGCTTCGGCAATTTATAGAGTAGAAAGCACTTTCTAGATGTTATCTCATTTGCTCCTCAGAACAACGTTCTAAGGAGATAAGAGAAGTATAATATCCCATTTCAGAGATGAGGAGAGGGAACCAAGGACAACCAGGAGAAAGCAGAGACAGGATTAGCAACACTAACATCCCTGAAATACATTCAAATCACCATTGAAGGAACTCAACGAACAACATCAAAAGAGCCCATAATTTCCTTTCTCTCCTCTTGAGACCCTTTGAGTCAAGATGCAGGAAGAGACAATGGAATTGCAATAGAACAATTAAATTATTTTCCCTCTCCCTCTGGCTTTATAGGCAAAGCTGAGTGATCTCTACATCTTGGAGTATCTGGGCACCTACTCTGTCAGTTTCCAGATAAACAGGGGAAAGACAATAACACTCTTAACATGAGTATATCATTGTTAAAAGACGTTATTTGGGAGACTTTCAGAAGAAACTATGATGACAAACAAATATCATAGTTATGTTACTAACAAAATGTATATTTCCATAAATAAGTGCACTTTAACCCTTTTCAAAGTACATTATCCTAAAAACCTGCTTTTGCTTTCAGTAAAATAACTAATGGAGTGCCATTTCCTCGAGGTAACCACAAGGAAAGCAATGCATAGAATCAAGCAATTTCACAGACAATTCAAGCATGTACCCAAGTACTCCTCTTTTTTTTTTTAAGATTTGTTTTTTTAAAGATTTTATTTATTTATTTGACAGAGAGAGATCACAGTAGGCAGAGAGGCAGGCAGAGAGAGAGAGGAGGAAGCAGGCTCCCGGCTGAGCAGAGAGCCCGATGCGGGGCTCGATCCCAGGATCCCGGGATCATGACCTGAGCCAAAGCAGAGGCTTAAACCACTGAGCCACCCAGGCGCCCCAAGATGTATTATTTTTATGAGAGAGAGAGAGAGCTCGCGCAGTGGGGAGGGATAGAGGGAAAGAGAATCCCAAACAGATTCCCTTCTCCTGATGAACGGCTCCGTCCCAGGACCCTGAGATCATGACCTCAACTGAAATCAAGAGTTGGACTCTTAACCGACTGAGCCACCCAGGCAACCCCCCGCAAGTATTAATTTTTAATGAGAATAGACATTAGTTGTATAAACACTATCTGTCCCAGGTGTGGTCTCCCTATTACAGTTGTGGAAGTTGTCGTGAACCTAATCGAAGCTCTTAAATCACGCAATAAACAGGTTTCCTTATCTACAAGGTCAGACCTCCCATTCAGGTGAAAATGAATAGAAACCTTATAAAACTGAACGCTCTCCAGGTAAAAAGAAAAACATGTTTGCATTCAGCCTGCGGAAGTTACTCCACGATGACACCAGCTGGCAATTGTTTCAGGCTGACAGATTGCAGCTACTATGAATCCTACACAAATTATTAAAATAATAAAAATAATGTTTTCAAAGAGCTTTCTTCCACTTCCTTTGCCAGTCTAGCAATGAGCTTAACACTATCTGTGAAGCAATTTGTTCACCTAATTTTATGCCTTAATAAGCTTTACTACAATTATTTTCTTGCCTGCCTCCTTCTCCTCCGTGACTTTAATACTCTTCTTCCCCGTTCTTCTCGAATATTCTCAAACCCGTTAACAACACTGCACTCCCCTAGGATTCAAACTTTTGATTAGAACAGTCCCCATTTAATCAAGTTCAATTGGGAGATAAAATTGCATCTCAACTTCTCCATTTTCCCCTTGGTGCCAGAAACTGCCTTGGAGAATGTTGAGGAAACCCTGGAGAGATTAACAATCCAAACAATCACAGAGAATAGTTTCGGATCCCCTGCATTTGCACACAAGAATATATAGATGCGAACACCCTTCGATGCACATGAAAAACAAAATAGATCATGTAAGTCATTGGCAACATGAATCTCTCCTTCAAGAACACAGAGTTCTCCTACACACTGAAATGACCTTTTTTTCATTTTTGTAAACAAACCAAAAAAAAAAAAAAAAAAGCCCGCAGGATAAGCAGTTTTGCAAATAACCAACAAAGCGGGGGCTCCCCCCCACCAACCCCAAGGAAGTTGAGTAGAAGAGGTAGCATAGATAGGCAAAGAGCAGGAAAAAATAGTGTTATATACTGAGTGTATTCCAATTCACTACCTGATTGTAACTTTGGGATAACCACAACCCTATATACCGGTTCCCATAAAGTACTATTTATATGAACAGTTCATTCTTTGCTTTATTGGATAACACTCTAGCTACCATAGATAGCTGCCTATGAGTGATGGCTAGACGCTATACCACCTGTATGTATAACGTGTTCATTAACTCGGTATAGGGTAAGCAGAGGCAATAACTTTTTCATCGTAGGTATTCATACATGTCCTCCAATAAGAACTTGTTAAGCACCGGGATGCCTGAGTGGCTCGGTCAGTTAAGCCTCTGCCTTCAGCTCAAGTCATGATCTCAGGGTCCTGGGATCCAGCCCTGCATTGGGCTCCTTGCTCAACAGAGAGTCTGCTTATTCCTCTCCCTCTGCCCCTCTTGTGTTCTCTCTCTCGCTCTCTCTCTCAAATAAGTAAGTAAAATCTTAAAAAAAAAACAAAAAAAAAAACAAGAAACAACTTGTTAAGCATTTACCATATATTAAACAAGACCAAAAAGGACCCTGCCCTCAGGTAACTTACATCCTAACTATGGAAAAATAAATAATGAAT